TTTAAAAGAATAAAATGAAATGAATGATTCGACTTGAAATGACCTTGAAGAGTTCTTGTGGCCAAATGAATGTCGATTGGATGCAGGAAATAGGCTTTCTGAAGGCTTTTCGCTAGATCGGTTTGTGTTTGGCCTTCTTGTGCACCTTCGATCACTCGCCAACCGCCGCCTGCAATAAAATCCTTTTAAAAGTTTAGTGCACCAGGAAACGTGTGTTTCCATTCATTTTTATTCCATCAAGAGTTTTCGATTTAGGTCTTTGTTTTGTTTGATTTTTGTTTGAAAAGAGATTTCAGCGAGCTGAATCGTGGCGGAAAAAATGTCAGCAAAGAATGTTGAGCAGAAATGTTCAGCAATCAGTTCAGAAATGTTCAGCAAGCGCCAGTCTATCAATCTTTTTGATAGACTAGCGTTTTATGCTAAGTGAATTAAACCAAATCGGAGTTTTGAAAAGCTTGCTGAACATTTCGCGGAAAAAAAGAGAGCGAGTTCAGCAATCAGTTCCACAAAAAAGCGATTAAGGCCTGCCTCTTTACAAGTCTTAGGTTCTAGATTCCATTTGGAACATTCTTGGCACATTTATTGGGTTGGCACACTGCCCCGGCTAAACACCGTGGAAAACCTCCCCTCCCCGGTTTAATTACCCAAGTTTAATTAGTTTCTGGTTTTCAATGTTCACTTAAATTCGGTAGTTTTTGATTGGATAAAAAGTAAGATTTAAGGGGTCTCTGGATGTCCTGTGACTTCCAGAACTCAGGAATCTTAAAGCTCAAATCTATGTCGTCAATATTTTGTCAACGATTCCGGGGTGAACGGCTGAAAAAAATGCCCGTACAGTAAGGCAGACAGAAAGACAGACAGAAAGACAGACAGATACCGTAACCGCGAAATGTTCAGCAAGCGCTAGTCTATCAATCTTTTTGATAGACTAGCGTTTTATGCTAAGTGAATTAAACCAAATCGGAGTTTTGAAAAGCTTGCTGAACATTTCGCGGAAAAAGAGGGCGAGTTCAGCAATCAGTTCCATAAAAAACGATTAAGAATTGTTTTTTTCTTAAAATCATGGAGTTAAATGTATATTAAATGTCATTTTTTTTACTAAAATTTATTCATTTTCCAATTAGAACTTGAAATAGACTTTAAATTTTGTTTATTTGAATCTTTTACATTTGAATCTTTTCAAACTTTGTCAAATTTGAATAATTTCCCTTTTTCTTATTCTTTTTATTGAAATTGCATTGAAAATGACATTTATTCTTTAGCTTTTTTTCTTTTAAATTCTTTTAATCCAAATTCCAAATCCAAATTCCTCACCAATATGCAATTTCCAGCGCACACAGAAGCCGGTTTTCTCGAAATCCGATGCCGACTCGATAATTCCATTGTAGAAAACTTCGACCATTGAAATGAATATTATTTTCAAATATATTTTTTAGACTTATTAGCTATTTGAATTGAAATTTATGCAAATTTTGAGTTTGCACTAGTGAAATTTGTTATTTGACATCGATTTTCAAGAGAGGTTGTCATGGAAACGAAAGCTCTTTACACCAGCTTCAATGCCAGCCTCAATACCTTCAGTGTCTTTTACGAAAAAAAGCTTAAAACTCTTGCAAAAGCAGGAAAAATTTCCATAAATTTACTACTGATTGAGAAAAAGGAAAATTTAACAGGAGAACTTCAATTTCGATATCGATTCGGGAGCTCTTATTTTATAGAGCTTAACTTTCTCGTTTTCAATATGTAAATAACTTTTCCCAATTTTAAGGAAGGCAATTGTAAGTTAATAGTTCGTTTACTGTACTGTACTGTACGACCTTTGAGTTAGCGTACTTTACTTTACATGGAGTACTGTAAGACCAACTGTGTACTGGATACGGTAGCCGGGTCACGCTTCTGTAAGAACCAAGTCTAGGAGTCTTAGATTACTGTAATAAAGTAAAGTAAAGAATGGCAAAGAAAGAGGGAGGATTGAACCCTCGACCTTTTTGCTTTCCGGACAGATGTCTAACCATTGATGATACCAGATAGGCAGATGCCTACCTAGTATTTTCTTGCTAGAGAAAGAGGGAAGACAAGAGGGGAGAGAAAGGAAGAAAGAAAACTGAACTTTTGACTTGTTTAATTGCAAACAGGCTTTAAAAAGAGCTTTTAAAAGTAGGTCAATGTTGAAACGAGTGTTACAGGGCGTAAAGAGAAAAGTTATTTCTACATTCGGGACGAGCAAGTCAAACTCTATAAAATGCTGAAAAAAAAATTACGCTTTTTTTTAATATATGTCGTAGCCGATTATGAATGAGTGGGTCTAGGAGCGTCCAACCATCAAGTATTTAGTATCATTCAACGCAGAATCATTGATAATTATGTTAAATTTTTGAAATTAGAAAGATTGGATAAAAAGAACACAAATTATGGGGCTTCAAAGTTTTCTCTTGAACAAACAGTTTTTTTGCTCTAATTTTTTTTCTTTTTATCAAATCTTGCTAATTTAAAAAATTTAACATAATTATCAATGATTCTGCGTTGAATGATACTAAATACTTGATGGTTGGACGCTCCTAGACCCACTCATTCATAATCGGCTGAAATTCATAATCGGCTACGGGGGTCCCGCTGATTTTGAATGAAACGTTGTAGCGCCGGCAATTCTTAACCTAAACTCACAAATTTGGTACCAATCGACGCAGAATTCAATTCGCTACAAGATCATATAATATTGTTCTCATACATTAAAGGGTTGCTCTACTAGAAAGGTTTGCCAAAAAATTTCATTCATAATCGGCTACGACATATATATACCGTAGTCGCTTACGAAATTCAGCCGCTAACGAATCATTTTTTAACGACTAGCCGTTTACGAATGAAATTTTTCGCTTGCCGTTTACGAATGATTCGTTAGCGGCTAGCCGTTAGCGAGTCATTCGTTAACGGCTGAATTTCCTAAACGGCTACGACAAATATATATATATAATTCCATCGGTTCTTGGTTTTTAATTTTATTTTAAAAATGTGACGTTAAAGTTTTTCTGATTTGAATGGTTTTTGAAAAGAAAAATCGAATTCCCCGACTTTCTATTTCAAATTTGGACAAAAATCAAAAGTCGCATTTTAAACAAAGAGGATTTCGGAACAACTCATATTTATTGTACTCTGTGATACACAAAGAAAAACCCTTCTAGACCACAATTTGTTAACCCTAAACACACAGTAATTATTTAGCTTTCTCACCTGGCTTCTCCCTCAACTAAAATTGATTAAAAATGGGTTTAAAGGGGCACTTTATCCGCAAAAAAAAAAATTCTGAAATCAGAAATCATTATTCTTGCTATAGCAATCAGAAAACCAATATCATTTTTCTGTTTTTTTTTTCTAAATAGAACAAGCTCAAAATTGTGCAAAATTGCCGAAAAACGCATTTTTTTAGCTGAAAATAGTTTCTGAATTCTTCTAAAAATCATTTTAAAGCTTAATTTAAATGAAAATTTCTCTTTTTCTTTGCTTAATATGCTTAAAATGCTTTCTTTGCTCTTTGCTTTTCTCATAGCATTTCTCAAAACGGTTTCCAAGCTTTTGCAGAAGCTCAACACTCAAATCCCCCACTAGATCTCATCTTTGCTTAAAATGCTTAAAATGCTTTCTTTGCTCTTTCCTTTTCTCATTCCTTTATCTAGATTATTTCTTTATTTTCTTTTCTTTTAAGTTTTATAGAAAAAGTTGAGATTAACTTTGTAAACTTACCTTTTAACATACCGTAAATACTGTAATTGGACGCCACCCCCCTCGTACAGTCGCGTAGTCGCAAAAGTTTTTTAGTATTTCATTTTTTTCAAAGCGAAACAACTGCAACAACTGCAACAACAACTGCAACTGGAGACAACTGCAACATCAACAACCAGGTAGGCCAGCGTTCAAAGTTAAGCCTCTAGAGGACCTACCGTAAATACTGTAATAGTACCCCACCCCTCTGGTACAGTCACGTAGTCGCAAAAGTTTTTTGAGTATTTCATTTTTTTCAAAGCGCCCGTACTTTCAAAAAATGCGTCTTTGGTATCAAAAAATAGCTGAAATTCAGGGCTATTTTTTGATACCTAAACGCGCATTGTAGCATAAACCAGTGTCGAGAAAAACTCGTTCAAAGCTAGACTACGCAACACTCTGCACCGTCATTATGAGGGTGCCGTACTATTACAGTGTTTACGGTAACTCGTATTTTTAGTGAAGATATTATTGCGAGAAGAGGCATTTAATGCGCTAGAAACGATGCGTTTCTATGGCACAAAGTACGTCGTTAAAAGATCGATTCTACTCTGTGCTCGCGACAGCATTTTTTGGACCTAGTCGTTTACTGTTTCACTGATAATTTGGTGACAAATTTGAAGAAAAAACAAAATGATTATAGTCATTCGATAGCGCTTAATCTCCTCTTGAAAACTAGTATAAATTGATCAAAAACTTTTTTCGAAATGAATAACAAAAGTCCTTAAAAACGAGTTGACACCAAAAAAAAAAAGTCATCGATTTTGTCTCGTTAAAAATTGATCAACCCCACCAGAAAGCCTGTGTTTCTAGTTTCTGGAGCACAAAGTACACCTCGAATTTGAGAATTATAACAGAACGACAATAAATTCTTCCATTTAATGTATTTTTCTTTTTCATTCAACCAAATTCTCGAATTTCCCGATTTCTTTAAATATTTTTCGTCAAACCAATAAATCTACGAATTTTTCCTTGTTCAAACCACTTTCCATCTCGTCAACAATCATAAATTCATGATTGCTTTTCGTATTTTTAACTCCAGTGCTGAGAAAATACCGAATGAACCTCAAAAATCAACAATTTTCCCTTCTCTTTCTCCAATTTATTCTGGACAACCCCATTTTCAGCATTGAACTTTTCAATTCCGCAAAAAGTACTTGAACTTTTTCATCGCATTAACTCACTTTCGACTTTAAACTTTAAATGCCTCTATCTATACAATATTAGCCTTTTTTTCTGTGAAAATGTCAACAAAACTCGACCCGAACAGTCCAATCTGTCTCTTCACCGTTGACATCATGAACAACTGGGCTATGGAGTTTTTTCAGGTGAATTTCATCGCTAGAAACTAACTATAATAGCAAACCCGTAATATCAGCTAAAAGTAAAATAAGGAATGGCAAAGAAGAGCTGGAGAGGGGATTGAACCGGAGAGGGGATTGAACAAAGTTTCCGCTATTGGGTAAGGAATGGAAAAGAAAGATTTCCGAGGAGTCGATTGAAATGTCAAGCTTTTCCTCGAACTTTTCGCTTTTTTACTTTTCCGGGTAGATGCTCTAACCAATGAGCTATCTAATATCTTATTGGATAGAAGAAAAAGGGATTCCAAGTAGAGAGAAAAGAAAGAGAAGGAAATACTTGGCATTAAAGTTTAGATTTGGCATTTCTCGATCTCACTAATCTCCTTCTTCTCACTCATCTACGTTTATGGAAAATATCGACAAAAGCTTCTACTCTTTCATATAAACGCTTCAGTAAGACTTTCAAAAGAAAGCTAAAGGCTAAAGAAAGCTAAAGGCTAAAGCACGCTAAAGGCTAAAGAAAGCTAAAGGCTAAAGCACGCTAAAGGCTAAAGAAAGCTAAAGTAATTAAAGAAAGCTAAAATAGCTAAAGAATGCTAGAGTAACTAAAGAAAGCTAAAGAAAGCTAAAAAGCTAAAATAGCTAAAGAAAGCTAAAGAAAGCTAAAGTAACTAAAGAAAGCTAAAGTAGCTAAAGAAAACTTTCAGATTCTCTTTTGTGTAATGTGCAGTTTCACAGCAATTCACGATATTTGTCTAGCTATTATTGCGGTAATTTTTTACAACTTAAAAGCAATTTTTCAATTTCTATTTTAGGGTCTAAACTTTGAAATGTTTTTGTTAAATGGAAGAGATTGTGACGGCTTATTGTTTGAGCCAGGCGCTTGCTTTCCTTTAAGGATCGTTTTCGACTTTGGGATTTACGGTGAGTTGCAAAAATCACTTTTTTATTTCGATCGATTCTCATTAAAATCAACTTATCGAGTTTTATTGTGTCTTTAAGAATTGAAGAATTGAAGAATTAAAGAATCAAAAAATTAAAGAATTAAAGAATTGAAGAATTGAAGAATTGAAGAATTTAAGAATTGAAGAATTAAAGAACTATTCAGGTCAAACGATTTCCCTTCTCGGCATTGCCATTGAGCGTTACTGTGCGATTTCAATGACGAATCGCTACAAATTCGTTTCTTCAACGCTGGGTCTCGTGTTAACGACTTTTGTGGTAATTTTAGAAAATTTGATGCTACAGTTCTTCACTTAGATCCTAGATTATTAACTTTCGAACTTTAGATTCTAAAGATCTTTAGACCTTTAGATCTTTAGATCTATTAGATCATTAGATCTATTAGATCTATTAGATCTATTAGATCTTTAGATCTATTAGATCTATTAGATCTATTAGATCTATTATTAGGTTGGTGCAAAAGAAATTTCGGTCGATATAAAATGTTCTTATTTTTTTAATCTCAAGAGCTTATTTGATGTTCTTTTGTGCATTTGTACTCTTGGATATTTACTTTATTTTCGCATTTTTTCAAAGTCAGAGCTTTCACTTTTTAATTGATTTTTGCTTTAGATCATGGTGGATCAAAAGTATGTTCTGCGCACGTGTCTTCTCTATGACTTCAAAATGGGCAAAAACGCTGCTGATTCACATCGTGATCTCTGTTCCGCCTTTGGAGAACAGGTTATCACCGAAAGATCATGCCAGCTCTGGTTTGCCCAATTCCGAGATGGTAATGAATCCCTTGAAGACGAAACGCATGGACATCGTGCCACAGCCATCGACAACAATGAATTGGAACAATTAATTGAAGCTGATCCAATGCAAGCAACACGAGAACTTGCCAAACATCTCCAATGTGATCATTCAACAATTGTACGCCATTTGGAAATAATTGGAAAGACAAATCGTAATGGACAATGGGTTCCACATCAATTGAGTGTTGAGAATCTGGGAGCACGCGTTTCGATCAGCCATATCTTGCTCCATAAGTCGAAAAGAAGCCATTTTTTTGAGAATATCTTGACGATGGATGAGAAGTGGATTCACTTTGATAATACTTCTCGAAAAAGACAATGGCTGAGCAAAGGTCAAGCGCCAATTCCAACTCCAAAGCCGGATTATCATGGGCGCAAAGTGATGTTGTCTTGCTGGTGGAATATCAATGGACTTGTTCATTTTGAATTATTAGAGCCCGGAAAAACAGTCGATTCATCTTATTTTATTCAACAACTCAAGAAGGTTGACGAAATTTTGCGTGAAAAAGGCCTAAATCCCTCAACTATCAACTTTCTCCGTGATAATGCTCCAGCTCACACGGCAAAAACCTCTTGTAAGGAACTAGAGAAGCTAGGATGGAAGGTCTTACCACATGCGCCGTATAGTCCAGACTTAGCACCCTCCGATTTTCACCTTTTCAGATCGATGCAACATTCCCTTGAGAATTGCCAGTTTAAGAATGCAAAAGAAGTCGAAAATTGGGTGACCAACTACTTTGCATCACAGAATCAAGCGTTCTTTGAGAAGGGGATCCGCAATCTGTAGCAACGTTGGAGGGATGTCATAGATAATAATGGTGCTTATTGTTTTAAATAAATTGTTATCTAAAAAATTTTGGATGACTTTAATGTTTGTAAAAAACGAAATTTCATTTGCACCAACCTAGTAGATCTATTAGATCTATTAGATCGATCTAAAGATCTTAATCCAAAGAACTTAACTTTAGATTGTGTTCACAATGGCCCTTGTTCTCTATGTACACTTTCATGAGGATCCCACCGAATTACAATTCAATTGTGGTCCAGTCACTCGTACCGCTGCTTCTGCCGCGAATATTGTCAATTTAATTCTAATTTTCATTGATTTACTTAGTCTAATCATTTATTTTATTGCCTTTTGGAGATCGAGAAGCTATGTGAGCTTGTGAGTTCAAGTAGAGATTCGATTCTTTTTTTTTTACTTGTTTCTTGTAAACTTTGTAGATGTCTAGTAGATCTAGTTCTCTAGTTACTAGTCCTCTCTCTACTTCTCTAGTTACTAATTCTCTCTCTCTTTAGCAAATCGACTCAAGCTTATCGAGATATGCCAATCGAGGAGCGATATCAATACTCGGAAACGAATTCCGTGATCACTTTACTTTTCCCATTAGTTCTTGCAAATGTTTTTATTTTTGTATCAGAGATGATCATACTACGAATTATTGATTATTATCAGCAGAAAGCTGGCCTCACTTTGTTCCTGTTCGTTGTAGAGTTTTATGTAAGTGATCGAGTTTTTTTGAGAACAAATAACTAACTAGCTTCCGAAACTATTTCAATTAAAAGCAAGTTTTTTTTGAGCTATCTATCTACTGGACAAGAATTCAAGAACTATCGAAATCTTATCTCTTTAGCTTCCACCCTATTATGCCCTCGTTCTACCGCCATTCATTGTGTTCATGCTTCGGCGAATCGAGCTCCAAAGAAAAGTGACAACTCAACGAATGCTAAGAAATCAAGGACTTTATTCAGAGGCGAGACTTGAATAACTTTGAACATTTTCATTTAAATAGTTTCAGATGTCAATTGAGGCAATTACTTCCTCGTGGCAAGTTGAGAAGAATCCACCATCGGTTATTCAAGAAAAACTCAAATCAACAAGTCCAAACGATCATCACAATCGTGTCACACCATTTCAAGCATAGGAAATATTCTATTTAACAATGAAATATAAAACATTCTTAACGCAAAAGAATTACAAAAGAATTATTGCACAAATATCTAGCTTCTAGAAAAAGTGTTGCATGAATTTTAGTCTAGAACTCACTCACAGAAAGCACAAAAGTATTGTAAGCACAAAAGCACTTGCAACTTGGGTAATTAAATCAGAAGAAAACGATGTCTCTGTAGGATTTTGTGATACCGTCTTCTCTCTAATAGTAGTGCACCCAAAACGTCGCCTAAATTCCTCGAAATCTCGAGAACCACTTATCAGAACCTATCGATGTGGGGTCGGAAAATGTAGCTGACGATCAGATCTTGTGGGAGATTTGAGTGTTGAGCTTCTGCAAAAGCTTGGAAACCGTAAATAGTGATCAACTCGGCTCGCCGGGGTGCACTACTATTAGAGAAAATACGGTGTTACAAGCACCAAACAACAACTCTACCTTTCTAGGAAAGCTGATCATTGTTTTATTCTATTTTCTTTCATTGTACCATATTTTATCATGAACTAAAACGACTGACTAAAATGGAAAGCGAAAAAGCTTCTGAGAAACTTTCATGCCCATTTCACCTGCCACTTTCTGGGTAACCGGTACACTTTTCCTGCGAATCGTTTCCGTTAAGAAAGATGTTCTCAAAAATTTGAGAACATTTTCATTAGGCCATCATCAGTTTGTTTTGTTCATGAATTGCTCTACCATCTCCACTGATATCCCCAAATTATTGTACTTGTATTTTAATGGAAATTCGATTTTTGTAATCGTTTCAAATTTCATTGCTTTTTATATGTTGAAATGGCATTCACCAAAAGAAATGAAACAATACAAATTGATATTGATGAATTTGACGGTGAGGATCCGAGAATTCAGTCCTATTTAAGGATAAAGACGTTTTTGAAGAGACTAATAATAAGATAATAAGTGCCGATGGATTACTGTTTGATTACTCTTGAATAGAGTGTGTTTCCTTGCGAGTAATCGCTTTCTGAAACGCGCATGAAAGGGGAAAACTAATGTTAACTAATGCTGGTCGAATGGTTTGCGTGCTTGTCTCGAAAGCAAACAGCCGCTAGACCGCAAGTTTACCCCTCGTTCGAGTTAAACTTGTTTTTACCCTTTTTTGATTCTTTGCTCGATCTTTGCTAGATACAGAGGGTTTTTAATTAAAGTTTATTCAAATTATTAGCTTTCAAAAGCATAGAAAAGTAATAAAAGTGCTTAGTTGAACAATTGAAAATACCATTACTTGAGATTTACTTGACTCATTACTCAAGTAGACCAATTACTTAGGCGAATTTATTCAAAGTAATTATTTGCTTGAGAGGAACACAGTCTAAAGCTCAACACTAGGGCTCAACAGGCTAGGCTAGGCTCAACACTAGGGCTTAACAGGCTAGACTAGGCTCAACACTCTTAAAGCTCAACCCTAGAGCTCAACAGGCTAGGCTAGGCTCAACAGGCTAGGCTAGGCTCAACAGGCTAGGCTAGGCTCAACAGGCTAGGCTAGGCTCAACAGGCTAGGCTAGGCTCAACAGGCTAGGCTAGGCTCAACAGGCTAGGCTAGGCTCAACAGGCTAGGCTAGGCTTAACACTCTTAAAGCTCAACACTAGGCTAATGCAGGAAATCGACTATCGAAGTCTATCTAACTTTAATTTTCTATAATTTTCTGTTTTCACTTTCAGTTCTGGAGTTTCCTTGTCGATTTCCTTTTATGCATTTTCATCCGTCCAGTGAACATGTTCCCATTGATTGGTGGCTTTGGGTCTTCGATTTTTGAGGATTACTTCCCGACTGGCACTGGCTTTTGGATCGTTGTAAGTGATCCTATAACGAAAGTTGTTCATAACTAATGAAAATGTAAAAAAAATACTTTTATTCAAACGAATAATGTGGTACAAATGGAAAAATGCTTCCATATTTCTCTATCTTTTGCTATTGTCATCCAGTGTTTCCGATCTTGGTTGTTCCTGGTTCGAAGTCTTCGACTGGCTTGTGCTGGTGGTGGTTGCACTCTAGCCATCCTTTCTCTGACCGTCTCTGCCACTCTTGTGCGCCACCTCGTTGCTGGTCTTCCGATGGGCCTCTTCTGGTCTCGTGGTAGCCACTCTGTGATCCGTATCGTCCATCTGTCGTCTGTTCTTCTGGCTACGTGGCCGGCTCATCTGAGTCTTTTTCTTTCGATCACTTCCACTGGATCTCTGAGTCCCGAGAGCTGGCGCATATCCGTACTTCTTAGGTCTTGGTCGAGCTGCGTCTTCCTATTGTGCCTTATTGCATAGGTTCCTTTCAAGGGCTCGATGCGTCGTTCCCGGGGCTCGTTCGGTGGTCTGTGTCGTGGCCCAGGTCTCTGTCCCGTAGCAGAGTGCCGGGAGGACGGTGTTGTCGAAGAGGATTTCTTTTCTTTTATGTTATTTTGAAATAACTTTATTTGGCGGTATTTTCTAACGGAAAACCCGGGCATGGCCAACTACCAGAAAATGGTCATTTTTTAACCTTTCAACTTAAAAGTCACTCAAGTCTTCAATAATCAATCGAATTTAAAATCTTTTTTTTTGCACTATTTTGTAGAGAAGATTCAGGGCTTTCGAACATTATAAAACACTTGGCTTGCAATCTTTTTGCACTTGGCTTGCAATCTTTTTTTTGGAAAGATATTTGAGCACTGGTTTCATTCCTATCACCCTAATATATCGAAAAAAAGAACCAATAATCTAGCCGTTGGGATTGAACTCTTGAGCTTTCGACTAGGCTATGGGGCTCTTAGCCAGTCAGTCATGGTCATCGGTCAGTCGGTCATGGCCATCGATCATTTATGTAGCTCAACTTTAGTGGAGTATGATTCTGGCGACGACCGGCACCGCGAATTTCACCATTTTTGGCTTCTACTATAGATTGTGTGCAATTACATTGAAGTAAGTCGTTTAAAAGTTCAATCCTAATCAAGTTATTTTAGCCATTGGATTTTCAAACATCCATACTACGTGCCGATGATCGCTGCGGCGCAATTTCTGCTGGCGATGCCGATCAATACTGTGTTTTTCACGCTAATGTGGCCTAGTCGTACGGAAATGGAGGTTTATATAAATTCGGTTAGTTTCGCCGATTCCTGGCCGGTCTACAGTAATAGGGCAACTAAATAGATGTGCTCAACGCATACCTATTTAAGTTCTACTACAAAATTCTTTTGTCCAGACTTGCCCCTCGACCTCATCCGTTTTCAAATACAATGTGATTCTCTTGGTCGACTCAGAGAATCCAAATTTCCAACGACTTATGCTTACTTTCAATTGTGAAATGGCTCTAAATATACTGATTACTGCGTATTCTGTGACTGGTGTATTTAGATCTATCAATTCAAAGTGAGTTCTAAAAAAAGCTAACAACATTTTGTGAATCTTTAGCGAGCTTCGAGCAAGGATGAGTGAAAAAACGCGAAAGCTCAACAAGCAACTCACGAAAAGTTTAATTTTTCAGGTAAAACTAATGTTTAGCTTAATTGTATCTTGAGCTCAAGGAAATCAAGAACGATAACATTTTTCTAGTTATTGATGACAAATTGTAGGTGTACTTATAAAGCACCTGCCTTTAAAGTACTCAAACTTAATGATCTTTATCGTAATAATCTCTATTAAAGTTCTTGCAAAGCTGCAAAGCTGCAAAGCTGCAAAACTGCAAAACTGTAAAACTCCAAAACTCCAAAACTCGTTTCAGACGGCTTTCCCTGGAATTTGCTATTGTGGACCAATAATTACCGCTTTGGTGGCTGTACAAATGAGGATTCCCAATGTTCAAAGTGGGATTTTTGACTGAGAAATGCCAACAATAAAGCTTGAGTCTTTTCGTCTACCGACAATTTGTTTATTCTTTTACATTGTAATCATGCAAATAGTGTTTAGATATGTTGCACTTTGCCATTGCCATTTTCAACCAACACTCCTCTTTCTCTTCAATCATCATGTTGTTCAGCATTGCGGCGTTTCGGAAGAAAATCATCGCCCTCTTTATCCCAAATATCCCAGCGAATCGAATTCTCATCAGCCAATCGGCTGTGGCGACTCGTTGAAGAGAGATTTTTTGGAATAAAGTTATTCAATTCAATTAGATCTTTAGATCTATTAGATCTATTAGATCTATTAGATCTATTAGATCTATTAGATCTTTTAGAACTATTAGATCTTTAGATCTATTAGATCGATCTAAAGATCTTATTCCAAAGAACTTAACTTTTAGATTGTGTTCATGTTCTCTATGTACACTTTCATGAGGATCCCACCGAACTACAATTCAATTGTGGTCCAGTCACTCGTGCCGCTGCTTCTGCCGCGAATATTGTCAATTTAATTCTAATTTTCATTGATTTGCTTAGTCTAATCATTTATTCTATTGTCTTTTGGAGATCGAGAAGCTATGTGAGCTTGTGAGTTTAAGTAGAAATTCGATTCTTTTTTTTTTTACTTGTTTCTTGTAAACTTTGTAGATGTCTAGTAGATCTAGTTCTCTAGCTACTAGTCCTCTCTCTCTCTAGTTCTCTAGTTACTAGTTCTCTCCCTCTAGTCCTCTAGTTACTAATTCTCTCACTCTAGTTCTCTAGTTACTAGTCCTCTCTCTCTAGTTTTCTAGTTACTAATTCTCACTCTCTTTAGCATTCTCTGCCCTGGTAAGAAGGATTCTATGCCCTGGTACGCTCGGCTCATTGTGATTCGACGCTCGGACCCAAGTCGCTACAGCAAGAGGCAGGAGACACTTCCTTCAACCCAAAATGACCCCCTTCCACACCTCGACGTGAATACGACAAGGAGTGTACCTCGGGAACAGGTTGGAGCTTTGCATGTGACTGCTTCCGAAACGAGTTTGGCTGCGCAAAAGGATACGACAAGGGGAAAGCATGCAGACAGCCTCCACAAAAAAAAGCCTCCAGTCAAGAAGGGCCGACCCCCAAAGAGGATTAACTCTACGAAGATTGACCCGCCTGGGTTGC